TTGCCTCCTAGTTCTTTCCTCTATTTCCTTTTACTTTCCTCTTGTCCCACTATCATGCTCAGCCTTCATTTGGGTTTCAGTAATTTCTCTTGGTTACATTGCCCTTGCTGAATCCCTACCAGGCCTCTCACAACCTCTTTGGCACTAATTTTGGATCACTTGTTGTTCCCTTGTTTTGGGGTTGGTCAATACCACATCCTTTCCCCCGCCTCCCCCTCTCTCATGCTCCCCGAACCATTGGTCCCATTGTTTTCTCCTCCAGACTGTTCATCCAGCCTATCTTATCTAGATAGACCTGCAAAGATAATAATATGCACACAAAAACAAGGTATAGCAAAACAAAGCGACAAAAGAGAACACAACAACAACAACAAAGAAAACCAAATATAAATTTTTTTTTAAGTAAAAAGAAAAATCTGTAAATAGATCAAGGACACCCTAGGAGTGTCCTCCAGTCGAGTCTGATGGGGTGCCACACTCTGGCCCCAAAGTCTATCCTTTGCACTCCTTCAGGAGTTCCCTGCTCTGCTCCCCACCCCCCCCATCCCCTGCTGTTCTGCTGCACGCCCTTAGTGTTTTGCTTTGGTGTGGTGGGGTCAGATGGGGCCAATCCTGACACTGAGTCTCCAGTGTTGTCCCCCATAGGGCCATTATTTATTTTCATTTTTATCCATATATGAATTTTTTCTTCTTTCTGTTTTGTTTTTTATGGTTTCCGTTAGGCTTCCCAGTTTATGAAGTACAGGCGTGGATTCATAGAGACAATAACTGATGCAATGGTTTGTTGGCGATGGTTGGGGAACAAACAATGAATGGGGGGGCACTAGAACTGATTGTGATGGTGTATATACAGGTGTTTTTAAGAGCAATTTAATAATGGAAGTATATGATATATGAATTTTATATAAAAAAACTAGTAAGAAAAAAAGTATGGCTAGTAAGAAGCAATGAAAACCTTATGAAGAAAAATGATGTCCTGGAAAGATTTTTTAAGATTAACAAACATGCCCCTCCCCCAGAAGAATTTATTTCAAAGGATGGCATTGAATCTACACCTCAGGGAGAGGGACATATCTGATC